CTACAACTGGGTCCAAAGTCAAAAGGCCTAGGAGCCGAGCTGGGGAGGTCTTACAGCAAGCTGAAGAAGCCATTGTAGGTTCGAGATAAAATGAACAGGATAGAGAGGTGGGAAGTTGGTTTAAAAAGATCTACAGAAAGAAGAGATGATACTAGGAACTGCCTCAACTTTTTTCTAGTTCCAGACCACATGTATCCAGATTTAGGAATGTGGCTGTGAATAAGCAGGGAACTGTAATGATTGAGGAAGGCTGTAGCAGCAGGTATATGCCAAATAGCAGGGCAGGACCCAGACCATGTGCCTAAGATGATGTTCCTCAGCCTTGCTGCTGTTGACATTCTGGGGTAGGTAATTCTTTGCGGTGGGTGCTGCCCTGTGCGTTGGTAGGATGTGTAGCAACATCTCTGGTCTCTACTCACTAGATGTCAAGAGCAACCTCCTCCCCAGTTATGGCAACCAACCAACCAACAAACAAAAAACTCCAGATATTGTTAAATGTCAGGGGATAGTGGGGGAGGCACAAAATCACCCTAGTGGAGAGTGCAGGTTGGATTTTTAACCTGCTGGCAATGGGAAGCCATTATTGATTTTAAGCAAAGGAAGCAGTAAGATCAGATTTGTTTTTCAAATGGATGCAACAGTGTAGAGGGGTGAACAGGGAGGCAAAAAGACCATGCAAACTACTGACACAGTTGGGGTGAAGATGATGAACAAGTGAACCAAGATAACAAGGATGACAGAAAAGAGGGCATGAATGCAAGTTACTGTGGCAGAGTTACGTTCAACTTCAGGGCCCAATAAGATACAGAATTAGAGGGGTGGGGGGAGAAACGTTATAGAACTGGTTGGAAATTTAGGTGGCAGTGGTGAGGCCCATTGCCTAGGATAGGGAATTTAAAAGAAAAAGCAAGTTGAAAAATGTGTTCATTTTAAACATAATCAAATTTGCAGTACGGGTGGGATATTGGGGTAGTGAACCTAGTACAGCTGGTGCTCAGCTAGCTAAACACATATACAGTTCAATGTGCCAGGCCCTTTACAAATATTAACTCACTTAATTTTCACCTTAATCCCCTGAGAAAGCAACTACTGTCACGTCCACCTTACAGATGGGGAAACTGCTGATAGAGAAATTATTTCAGGTCTCCAAGATTCCACAGCTAGTTGTTTTGTAGTTGAGATCCCAAACCCTAGCAGTCTGGCTCCGGAGTCCGTGCCCTGACCCTCAAAATTCTATTGCCTGTCAGTCCAGTGAGAGAGAAAGACCCAGATTATGAACTTAGATATGGGTGGTTTTCAGTATACAAATTGACAGTAGGTGAAGTTATAGGCATACATGTGATCTCCCAGGGAAAATGTGTAAAGACAAAAGAAAAAAACAAGACAGAATGAATACTAGAGAAGACTATCTGTTAAGCTAAGGGGGAAGGAGGAACCAGAGGAAAGAGCCAGCAGAGGGATGCAAGAGACTTTAAGGGAAAATCTTAAAGGCAAGAAATAAATAATATCTTGGTAACCCACAGCAATCCCTTGCATATAATCTGCTCTTTATAAATGTTTTTAAAATGAATTAATAATCTCATAATCCCAAATAATGAACATATCAAACATCTATGCCTATAGTATATTCAAAAGACTTTATAACGTTGAGTAAAATTCAAATCATATCTGTGATTTTTCTAGGACACCAAGAGTTTGTGGAAGATATACTGTCATTAAATGTGAACAATAGCCTAGGTACCATAAGAAATCGATCCTTATATTTACATTCAGCTAAGAAGGTTTTTAAAAGCCTTATTCAAATCCTATCCCAGCAATGTAACATGTGACTTTTTTTAAAATATTTTGTTGAAAATCACATGAAATATTGGCTCTTCTGAGTTCTGCAATGAACAGATATAAAATGCTTAGTGTCTTCCTAAGGAGGATTTAGGAAACATGTATGTGAAAAACTGATTACTTTTCACTCGAAGGAGTTACTAGAGCAGCTGGTGAATCTCGAGCCGTACTACTATAATAACGCCTCTGGGTGTCTAAACAGTTTTTGTTATGCATTCCTTATCATACTCTACAATTCTACACCCTCAACACAAACATTGAGTAAAAAATGAGTTTCCTCAAAATACAAAAAGGCTAGCCCCCATTTCCAATTCAAAACAAGTGTTTTCTCAGGAAATACATCATGATTTCCAGGCCAAAACTGGAAGCATTTTCTAAACTTTAATATGCATACAAATCATTTGGGGATCTTGTTAAAAAGAAGCCTCCGATCCAGTGGATTTGAAGCTGGACCTACACTCTGCATTTTTAACAAGCTCCCTTCCTGGATGACATGATGTTCTTTCTGATCCATACTGGCTATTCAAATGTGGTCTTAGGCAAGAAGCATTAGCAGCACTTAGAAACCTTAGACCTGTACTTCCATCAGTATGACAAACTGAACATAGTAATAGCATCTGCTGCCCTTAGAAATTTACCTTAAATTCTTTTCTTTAAAATCCACTTATGCTTGGGAGGCTGAGGCAGGAGGACTGTTTGAGCTCAGGAGTTTGAGAGCAGACTGGGCAACACAGTAAGACACCATCTCAAAAAAATCTACTTATAACTCATTCATTCACATTTTCTTTTTTGTTGTTATTGAAGATTAGATCTTATTTCTATTCCTTCCATGATTCTAAACCATGAGTCTAACATTTAAGCCCCTCCATAATAGGACTCCAGCTGGTTCTTTCAGCCTTCTTACCTAGATGCCTTATATAGGTCCACAACATGCCAATTAAATAGGACTGGTTATTTTCTGCATATAAAACATCCTCTCTTACCACACCCCCTTCATGTTTTGCTTTGGTTTGTCATAGTTGATACTTTAGGAAAAGCTAGTCTGCATTGCTATTCCTCTCTGGTCAGCTCGTCTAATCTCTCAGTGAAATGTGATCTCACCTTTCTGGGAACCAACCACTCTCACCACAGAGATTTTCTTTCATTATAATATTTACCATATTCTGCTGTATACAAGATCCTTGTATCTTATATACAAGGTTGGGTCCTTGTCTTATCCTTGCTACTCAGTTATGAGCTACTTGAAGGCAGGAATCTTTCTTTATTATTTGATATTCTTTGCATTGCTTAACATAGTTCTTCACTCAAGTAATGCTAAATAGAAATCTATTAAATATTATAATAAAGTAAAGCACTACTCACTATTGATGATAATAAATTTAGTCTAAATATTCCCACATCACAAATCTAAATTGTTTTTTATTTCTTCAAATATGATTAGTTCATGTTCTATGTTTGTCACCACACAAAAAATTAAGCACAGTGCTCTATTTGTATTTTCCCCCAACTCTCAAATCGGAAAATTTTTATTTTGTTTAATACATTTTATTTTCATACTGAACAGGCCAAATGTTCATTGATCAATTGAGAAAAATTAATCTTATAATGAAATCTTCATAAAACCATTATAAAACTCCACATAAACAGAAAAATAGACTAGAAAGCAGCACAGAAATCATTAAATTGGTCATGCTGAAATAAAGCACAGCGACAAAAGTTAACTTTTGGAAACTAAAGGCTCTTCAGAATACCTAGGAGAGCCCAAGGTACGAGGGAACTGCTATGTTTATTTTAAATCATGAAGTTTGTCAGCCAACTGGACAATCCTTCAAGTACAAACCCAAAATACAATCCAATAGAATGTATTAAGACCAGACATAAATTTAATTGTGAGTCAATGCAAAATATCCTCTACTAAATTCTGAAGATAAACAAACAGATAAAGAACATAATTTAATTTTAAGTAACTGTTAACAATGAGCCCAGTCAATAAACATCTAACGAGTGGACAGAATGTGAGATCAGAGCTTAGAAGTGATACAGAGTTGTGATCCTCTATGACTGGAAAACAAAAATTAATGGTCAAAACTACACTGCTCTAAAAGTAAGAATTAAAGGAAACAATATGACTTCTCTGACTTATATAACAAATATTCTACCCAAGAGCTGTTTGGACAATATCAAGCATCCCATCAGAAGACAAAAAAAGCACCCCTATAGGTTAAAGATCCCTGTAAATGATATTTATTCATGACTGATTAATCAGCTTTCCTATCCTTAAAGGCCATGCCTTTGGCAAATGGTGTGGAAGAGACAATGGTTTCTGGCAGACAGAATAATGGCTCCCCCTAAAATGTCCACATTCTAACCCACTAAACTCGGGATCGTTACCTTGCATGGCAAAGGAAACTTTGCAGTTGTGATTCTGACTTTGAGATGAGATTATCCTGGATTTTCAGATAGGGCCAAAGAAATCACAATGGTCCTCAGAGTGGAAGAGGGAACCACAAGAGAAGGTCAGCGTGATGAGATGTGAGAAGGACTCAACAACCTACTATTGTCAGCTTTGGAAATGGAGGAAGAGGCCGTGAGCCAAGGAACACAGGCAAGCCTCTGACAGCTAGAAAAGGCAAGGAAACAGCTTTTCCTTTACAGCCTCCAGAAAGAAGTGTAGCTCCGCTGACATGTTGATTTTAGCCTAGTGAGACCCGTGTTGGACATACAGAATTGTAAGGTAACCAGTCTGCATTGTCGTTAGCCACTAATGTGTGGTCATTTGTTACAGCAGGAACAGGAAACTAACATAAGGGTAAACTGCTATGAAAATAATTCTCTAAAACAAACAGATAAATCCTTAAAAGTGTAATGTGATGCTCTATAAAATGTTCATCAAATATATTACGATTTAGTTTGCATTACTAAAAAATATACCTGCTCCTCTGTAAAATGCTAACAACACAACACTTAAAACTACATTTTAAAAAAGATTAAAAGGAAATACAATTAACTTTGATCCAAAAATTGGGTTAGAAAACAAAACAGAGAAAGCTATTTTTAACCAAACAAGAAGGTGATAAAAATTAAGTAGGAAAATTTGATATTCTTCATGGATAACATCTAAAAAGGCAAAAATCAGTGTTTCTTTTAAAGTTCCCATTTACCTGATGATCCTCTGGGCAGCGTACTGATGGAGCGAGCGGAACTGAGCAGACATATTTGCTAACGCTGCTAAACAGTTGGTGTGCAGATACTTGTCCTGTCAGAAGGCAAGTTTAAAACACACATCAAGTCTTCTCTGTATTTTAAGCAAGGCTAACTAGAAGCAAATGTAAATTCAATTGTCATTCATTTTAACAAGTTCAGACCCACAATCCCTTTTCTCTAATTCTCAAATCCACAAAGCACTGAAAATACAAAGTTATTTTTTTTTTACAACTTATTTGGAAGCAACACAAAAAAATTATGATGTTATTGATGTTCTCCATTATTCCCACCATGGTGTATGCTAGAATATCTGGTGCTACAGAAACATTTACATTTAATTACAGTATGCTGCTTTGGACCCTAATGGTTATGTGTGGTATAGCATATAAACTATAATTATCTTTCTAAAATCCAAAAAATTCTCCATTCTAAAACACATCTGGCTCCTAGGGTTTCAGATAAAAAATACAGACATATATATTAGCCCTACAGAAGGAAATAACTGAAAACAATTCAGTAAACTTGATCATTTCTCTTAGCTATGAATTCTGTACATTGTTTCTCTTTGACAATAACATTTCTATTGAACAGAACTGAAATTTATTCCCAGGTACTGTGAACAGAATCCAGTAGAATTTTTTCCTAAAGTATTCTCTCTCTTCTACTTTTCTCATTTGTATTCATATTTTCCTAACTCATATCTTGTTATACTTGGTTGTTTGCTGCTTTTAAAAGGCAAATCAGTGTTATTGGTCTGGCAAAGTATACAATAGCTTTTATCTAAATGTGCCACATTGCTTGTTTTCTATTTCATGTAAAACAATTCTGATCATACAATCCATTAAATTATCAAGAACAGATATTCCATTTCACTAGGATCATGAAATACAATGACTATCTGTTCATCTGTGTTTTTCCACTATATTTTATGAGAATTTTAGCCTAAATATTGGGATTACTTTAAACTACAGTCTTAATTGTACTGTATGCAAAAACACAGAAAAATAGCTATGAAATACTTACTCTCGTCCTTGTCATGTTGTACTGAATGGTTCTTATTACGACCAGTATCAGGAGACTCCCCAAGGAAATTTCAGTTAAAACTCGTTCCGAATACCAAGTAATATTTTTTAATATCTGTAAAGGGGAAGAAAAGTTTAAGTAAAAATGACTGCTTTAATGAAAAAGGACTTACTCCACGTCCACAATTTTTGATAAGCCATGGCCTTGCTCTGAAGATAAGTTAAGCAGTACAGAGAGAGGCTAAGAGCGTGAATGAGCCTGGATCTTCCAGAAGAGACATGCCAGTGTTCTGCTATGGCTATGCAGAGCAGGCAGCACTGGTGCACACCTGAACTATTTTCCAAATCAAGTTGAGACATTTTCACAGTACATTTGTAACATGGTATCTATCAGAGGGGGGCTGGGGATAGAGAGAGAGAGAGAGGGAGTGACAGACACAAAAATTGGGTAGCACAGCAGCCAAATTGGAGCTGCCACAAAGCAGGAGGTAAAATGCCAGAACAAAACAAAAACTAAAACCAACAAGTTCACCTGAACACTAAAACTCCCTAATGTTTCCTCTCATTAAGGTTAGTCCTGATGTCCTTTCTCCTTGACTCCAGGAGAGTCGATGTGCCATATTCTTCTCTATCTATGCACAAAAAAGGAAGAGACTTCTGGGCTAACTCTTTTGTGTGTGTGGGGGGTGGGGAGTAGATACAAGTGATTTATTTAGAAGATAACCCAGGAAGCAGGAATAAGGCAGTAGGGAGAGTAAGACAGGGAAGGAGGAAAAGCCTCTGCAAAGGTATGCCATCAAGGTCACTACCATTAACAAAGGAGATTCAAGTCCAACGAGACCTCTGGGAACCATCCTGAGAGCCCCACAAAATTGTTTACCAACGGACCAGAGGCTGAGGCACTTGTCCACTGGCTTCTGACCCTCCTGTGTGAGAGTTTTTCCCTGAAGCATCTTCCTTGTACTTGTGTTGCACTTGCCTGGGCACCTAGCAGGCTCCTGGGCCTTCAGAGAAGACCCTGAGGTGAAGGCAGAAAGGAGAGGTCCTCTTTTCAGGTGGGAAGCTATCAGGAGGAGTCTGAACTTCCATGGAATGCTCACTATAGCTGCTGCTGAAATCAGAAGTAGGTCAAGAGGATGTGATCGGACATCAAAAACGTCTGGAATGCCTGGCTTCTCCATTCCCTGACCTCCTCTTTTCCAATAATTCCGTCCTCCAACCTACCTCAACTACTCTCCCCCTTGATCAGAGCTTAACTCTTGTCATTACCAATAACTGTGACTAGAAAAGCCTAAGCATGACTTCATCCTTTAACTTCTGCCTCCTATCTTTCCAGCTGGATCCCTCTTATTGGGACTCCAGCAATCCTTAGACCCTCACCTGGACATACAGTGCTTCTATCTCACTATCTTTTCACTGTTCTTCACCCTCCAGATCCAGCTTAAATCCAATGGTCAATCATTATACCCACTCCCCTGTTTCTATGCTCAACTCCCTCTATCATTCTCCCTGAGCAGAACCCCAATCTTGGTTACATCCTATTCCACACCTACTCAGTGCCTGCACCTGAGGCTGAATGTGCTTTAGAATTAAACAGGCCCCATCACTTACAAGCTGTGAAACCTTGGGCATATTACTCAACCCTGCTGAATCTTATAGTTTCCTTGGCTATGCCGAGTGGTCTCAATTAAAATTCCAGACTAGTCTCAAGTTGGCACTTAGGGGTGCCAAGAAATCATGCGTTTCCTTAGTCCCTTCACTCTCCCACCATTATAGACAACAATTTCCTATATTCTCCTTTTCTCCTTTCTTTATAAACCTCACAACATCCTCACTATCAGCTGATGACGTGGTTTCCAACTTCCATCAGGGAAGAGAAGCACTTGGAAGAGAACTTTCACTTCCAAGAGCCCATCTACTGCCTCGTGTCCATCCCACCACCAGGTGTGACTGCCCATAGTCCTAGCTCTTTTTGCCCTAAGTGCCATCCTCTGCCATTATCAAAAACATGGTTCTGGCAGATTTTCCACCTTCTATTTTCCGCATCATTGTTTTTTTCCTTCTACACAATGGCATATCCATCAGCCACCTCTCACTCCTCTTTTTCTCAGATGTGAAGTTTAAATGTCTCCACAAGGAGAGATTAAATTCCAGCATCAAATGTACTAATCTATGCAAAGTCCATAAAACTGTGCCTGGAATACAGTAAACATTATACTTGTTGGCTTTCATTACATTTATTCAGTGCTTACATGTGTAATACATTATCCTACATTATGATTTACATATATTATATTTAATTCTTACAATAACTCTGTGATGTAGATGCTATTTTTATCTTAATTTAACAGCTGAAGAAATTAAGATTCAGCAGGGTCAAGTAATGCACTCAATGTCTCCCAGCTTATAGGAGACAGGATCTGTTTGGACCTGTTCTGTTCTAAAGCACATATACTCTTAAGCACTGTGCAACAGATTCTTAGCCATTAGCACACAGAAAAATCACCAGCAATGCTTGGGAAAAGGGCAGATTTGGGACCTGACTCCCACCCTATGGAATGAGAATATTCAGAGGGCAGAGGCAGGAAATCTGCTTTTTTAAAATACTAACCCCAGGTTATTTTGATGTGAGTGATCAACTATATTTGAGAAACTCCTTTATATATCCTTTACTATATATACAGAAAACAAATGAGAAGAATAAAGCAAACTGTTAACAGTGGATATTTTAGGAGAAAGAAGCAGTAAGAAAAATTAAATTTGTGATTTGAAAGACCAGATTGAGAAGTTCTCTACAGAAAGCTATCAGGAAAAGTGGAGATCTAATATCCACTTAAGAGTTCCAGAAGGAAGGAACAGACTAGAAAAAAAAACAGAAAAATTTGTCATATGAGAAAATTTCTGAGAGGAAAAAAATTTCAACATTCCAAGCAGAAATACTGAAAAACAATCAAAACATTCTGGTAAGATCTGTGATTCACAGTATATGAGAAAATTCTATTGGCTTCTAGAAAGAAGAAACATGTTATCACCAAAAGAAAGAGAAGCAGACTAACATTAGAGTTTTCTTCTTGAACACTATATATATGAAGGAAAATAAAACATTGTCTACAGATTTTTGAGGAAATAGATTATGATTCTAGAATTCTACACCTAGAAAAACTACCACACAAGTATTTTGAAAAATAAAGACTTAAGTATCCAAAACACAGCACGAACCATCCACGCACCATTTCTAGGAAAAAAACCACCACCACACATAAAAGCATGTAGCACCCCTCCTCAGCAATGTAACAGATCCAGAAGAATTCCAGAGAAGGAGAATATGGACTACAAACAACAACAACAACAAACACAGGGCTAATCCATGAAATCAGGAAAATATAAGTAAGTATAAATAATATGGTTGCACCTTAGTTCTTCTAAGAGACCCATAAAATAGATATTTCTCTGGCAAGTCTGATGAAAAAAATTCCGGACAATATTAGAAATTAGAAGGAAGTAAAGAAACAGATAAAAAGAATAAAAAAGTAAAGGAATACCATGTTGAATTTCTTATCAATATATTTGAAAGTGCAAGTATGCACAGGTGCCTTCCCTTCACAGATTTTTACTAAGCTCAGCTCTCTGGCAGGCCTCAGGCAGCAGCCCCATTACAAATAACCCCACCCTGACCTGTCTGTCCTGCAGTGTCCACTCAGGCTGGCACATAACAAACACCCACTACATGGTGGCTGAATATTGCTTGTGAAGTGAAAAGTAAAAACTGTGCAATTAATCAAGTAGAAGAGATAACCTACATGTAAAATAGTGGTAGCTGAAAAAATTCAAAGCAATGATTTTTGCCAGCTGAATTTTTATAATACATGAAGTGTTCAATCCTTCTGATGTATTCTATTCCATAAGGCAGTAGTTCTCAATATGTGATCCTGGGATAAACAGGTTCCTGAGACATTTCTGAAGAATTCTCAAAGTCAAAATTATTTTCATAATAATACTAAGACGTTATTTTCTACTCTCATTCTAAGTGGAGCTTTCCACAGGCTACATGATAGAATAACAAACTGAATACAGAAGCAGACATGAGAATCTACTTGTCTTCTGTTAAGGCAAATCATTTGCAAAAATACAAAAAAATGTCACTCTTCTCACTAAATCTTTGTGGAAAATAGTAATTTTTGTAAAAAATGTTATCAATGCTAACATGTAATGGGATTTTTATTATTATTATTATTATTATTATTATTTTATAAGGACCAACTTTCTAATGTGGAGAACTATAACCCACATAAAACAGGTCTTTGCTGTCCTTAATAATTTTTAAGCGTAAAGACCAAAAAGTTTGAAAATCACTGTTCTAAGTCCACAAGGGAAGACTACCCAGGGACACTCATCAGGCAACTTTACTAGTGAAGGAGTCTCTGTTTTTTAAAAGGACACACACTTTAATATATTCTGTTTCTCCTTTCTTGGCTCCTTTACTTAGAAAGAAATTATCACAAGTCATCTGTATTTGGAATGGAGGTCATTAGGTCTTAATGTATGCTTGTATAATGTCAACTGTACAACTGGATTGAGAAAGTGTTTTGAACAAAGTCATTTAACATTCAACAAATAGTTAATGAGTATCCATATGGTAAACTTACAGTGGTTACTATGCAAATTAGAAATCCAATTTAGCATTTACACAAAGGTTTGTCTTTTTTTCCTATGAAAAATATATCATTATCTAGAAATTCTGGGTGATGTTTTTAAAAAAATTATAAATAACCCATTATACAGCTCACATATATTCCCATGGGACATTAACATGTAATTAATAGGCAGCATAAAAATTTTTTCTTGGTAACCTAGTTGTAGTCTTTGACCTATTTATTTGGTTCTTATAAAAACAATTCCTCACTTACCCCATTCAGTGTTCATAGCTTAATAGCTGTGGACTGTTATCACCTTGCTTATCCATTATGTTTATAGTTTTTATCACTTTATGTTTAAAATAACTAAAATAGTGTTTTTTATCACTTTATGCTTAAAATAACTAAATAGTGTATAGAAGGAAGCTCCTCAAAAATCTAAAAATGCCTTCCTTCTCAAAAAGTATATGAGAGGCTGAGC